CAATACCTGTTGACGTTCGCTACAATCAATGCTTCACTCTCAATGAATGATTGTCACACAATTCACTAGCTTCAACATCATCTGATATTATAGGACTGATTTGTACTCCAATGTTCAAATGATTTGTATTCCAGTCCTTCGTGTTGTTGTACTGTTTTAATGTAGGTTTAGGTTATGTAAGTTTTTTTGGAATTTGAACGGAAAGATTGTCCCTAGTGTACGAAGTTCTGGAAAGTCACTTTGACAATGGTAAAAGTAAATTTTGTGAGTACGGTGTTTCCAACTTGTCTGTTTTACTCTTGTCTAGTTTATTCTGACTTTCCATTTGATTTTAATATAAGTGTGTATAAAGTTATCCGCTTTTTAATTACAATTTGGTTCAATAACTTCAATAAGCAGTTTCTTATGCGACAGTAGTTCTAAATCGTACTGGTGCTTAATTGCTCTTAAATCTCTTAGCAAATGAAGACAACATTGTAGTATTACGTAATAATCGTTTATACGCTGATCAATAACTGTTTACCTGCGAGTAAAACTAGCGTACTGAGATAATACCCGAGGGAGGGTCTAAAATGGTAGTTTGTAATTATATTAATTCTACATAACCGATTCATACGAAAATCTTCGGTTTCAAACAGATTAAACTAGTTACTAAATCGCCTTTCTATCAACGTGGGAGTTATATATGTACCAATCAATTTTGAAAATACAAACGTAAGATTTACTAAAATTTTAAATTTAAATCCAATCAAAATAAATTGAACAAATAAGAAGGAACCTTTTGCAAATAAACCGGTGTGTCCAGTATCATACTAATTTAATCGTTTGCGCAAATATAATTCATGTAATTATCAACAAAGCAGTGTGAGCCGGGTGAGTGCGCGCGCGCACGTGTCAACGGCCGCAGGTGCTCGCGTCATTGGCCAGCACTGGCCATTGTTCTCCCCCCTTCCCCACCAAACCACACATCAGGGATGTTACGAATATGACATTTCGGATCTGGTTTCAGATATAAAAATATTACATTCGGATTCAAATAAATGATAAGTTTCGGGATAATTTCGCGAATTGTCGAGAAGTTTTAGGTGAAATACAACAACAGATAATCAAAATCCAATAACACACAAGTCTCCTAAACGTTCCGTTTATATTCGAATTCTTATCGGGTACGGTTCTAGTTACGGAACTCTATAACATCACTACCACACATAAAAGTACCCGACGAACAATCATTGCAAGCCAGCTGATCGATTCTTTATCTTTTTGCTCATTTCAACTGCTGGTAAAAAGTAAAATATCACAGGATATACAATTATACCACCTGGTGTCTTTTATTTGTTATATACTCCATACATATAGCAATAAATCAGCCATGCCAAATGATTAAGTATGTATTTATTCATACAGGTGTATGTAGTAAACACCAGAGTCCAATGTATTAAAATCATACGGCATTAAATAATATGATTGTCTATTTTGTCTACTAGTAAATAATACTTTAATCGGTTTACTGGTTATTGTTCATTTATTTGTGCAATTACGTAACTAATGAGCGATGATTTATAGTCGAATAAGTATATGTATATTGTATAATAAACTAAAATGTGTCACCAGGAAAAACTTCGATGATACACAAGCGTATAATGAGATGGTCCTAGGACCGATCCTTGAGGTACACCGAATATTATTGTTTTACCCAATTTTAAATACATTCTAATTTTAAATTCACTTCCTTTGTGATAAAATCAAAAATCAATTGTCTAACGGTCGCTCTCTCCTGTTATAACTAGTTCAAGACACTTTTATTAACCCTTTTGAGATGAGCTAGCGTTAAGTAATTACACATAGCATAAGATAACAATATGTAATTAAATTATTACGTGATAATTAATTACCATTAGTGCCAAACAGTTAAGTACGTAGCGTAAATAATAGTGAGCTATGTTGTAACACCAAGTGACAACATGTCAGTTAATTATTTGTTGGTAACTGTACAGATTTCATACCATGACGTCACATCAAGAATATTCTTTTAAATTGACTGTGAAGATACTTGTGTGTAGATAGATGGTAAGAAAGATAAAGAATTTCAGAGAATGACCAATGAAAACATTGACATTTGATGGGATGATGTCTGATCGGAGAGAATGGAAGAAGAAGAAGACAAAGTATGCAACGGTACTCTGTCTCTTGTACTCTCATTGAAAAATTCTCTTTAATATACGATACGTAATTGACGAAATAGAAGCCCTGCCTATAAGAAATAACACGAATGTTATAAGACTAAACTATGTGGTGACAGCAACACCTCTATCAAACATCGCTTTCAATTCTACAAAACCTGACAAGATTGTGTACTTATCGGATTTTGAATCAACAATAGACACAATAAGGTGTATATTTGTAAGACGGGTCGTCGCCGCGGTCCTGCATTGTATGTCCTCTATAAATCGCTCTTTGTGGAAGGTACAACGCGTATAACATTACGCCTTTATTTCCCTGAAGGTGTAAGTTTAGATGCGGGATTAAACTTAATGCTTTATAGCAGAAGCTTTACTATTTTTTTTTACTCAGTATATCAAGATAGAAAAGTTTAATAATATTTTGCTTGACTCTTGCACCAAAAAATTCTAAGACAGAATTTCAATAAATGGAAAGTAAAATCGTTCTTTCCCAGGGAATCAAACTCGAGATTCTTCCACAGCTTTTCAATATTCAGTTGATCTTATTCCGGTTATTGCAGATTTGGCTCGAGTGCTTACCTCATAGTGAAATTCTCACAATATCCATACCAAGAATGCAACGATGCCAAACTTAGATCTTTGTTTAGTAACATACTAAGTTTCCGAAGCTACACAAGTTTGCTATCCGGGAGAGAGTTATATAGCATTTGTAATCTCTCCAGCTTGGAGTACTAAGTTCATTATTTAATATCTTTATCTTTACACATTTTATTTCCTCTAACAAGTCGCTACTATGAATCCCACCCATGTAATAGAGGTTGAATTAAAAGTCTTACAACCATAATTCCTTTAAGTAATATGGGCTGGCGTAAAATATTTTCTTCTATTCCCACCTATTCCTAAAACAACTCCCTTTCTCTTTCAAATCGCTCCTCAAGTCCGCACACAATCCATCCGTAAGATAAACTAATATAATCAAAAACATTTAGGTCTACATAACGATATTTTTATACGTATTAGGTTCTAGACAAATCCTAATGGAATACGCGATAGAATAATAGGAAAGATCTTGTTTGGCGAGAGTATTTTCGCCTGACTAGAGCCAAGCACCCACGCCGCGTTTAGATTAAAATATCTCACATATACATTTTTCTTAGTAGCTACCATTCAAGCAGCGATACTTTCACACGGTAGACGATCCTATATAATGTAGATAAGTATTATAATACCAGGTTAAACAAAATAGACTGTTGTTGCTGAAATTGATAATGTTATTGGTTCTAAGGAAAGCGTTCGATAGCATTAGTAAGGTACTCGTATATCACCAATAAGTTCATTAAAATTGGTACAGTAACATTAATATGTAACAAAAAAAGTAACTTATAAGTTTATAGCATTACTACTTATAGAATTAATATGGGTAATGTATGCTTTCATAAAAAGATAACTTTAATATGTTAATGGTGCAAAGACCTTATCGTTGCCAGCTATATCTACCAGACAACCCTCGCATCAGAAGTCAAATAATATAAGTAATAGATATTAAAACATTTTTCTAGTACATTCATAGATTTTTCAAGAATGATAGATACTTATTTAAACTACAAAATTGCTTAATGTGCTGCATTTTGAAGGGAGAACCTCTCAATATGGCGGCATTATCCCGTCCCCTTTTCCCGCCATTTTATCGCTAAATAAGTTTCAGTTATGAATGTTATGATCGACTTCATCTTGTTAGTGGATCACATTAGCGGTTGTAAACTGGTAGCGGGTAATGGGAAATATGAAATTGACCAATCATGTGTAGGCATTACGTGCGTGCCAGTAATTGAAGATATTCTGCACTCACGCTCTTAGGCGAGGTGACCTCAAAACAACCTGAACCATCCTTATTTATTGAATGTTCGTAATCCAATTTCAATATGAAATGCATATTTTTTTCCCACACTGCGTTAAGAATTTGAGAAATCGAATCGTGAATTCGTTCTGTATTCTTTGATTAATGCACTCCATTAAGCAGCTTAAACTTTCCACTAATCTATTTGGAAACTGTACAAGTGTACAGTACTAGATAGACACATTAAATAAATGATGATTCAGTGGGTAAAGAAACCCATTATAATATTAGTCACTTTTGTTATGGCTTAGCTATAAGCTTCCATTAGGCTACAATAGTCAACAGATTAAGTTTACGATATCCGTCCAAATTATGTCCATACTTATACAAAGAAGTCCCCTACACGTGTTGCACATAATGTAAACACTATAAAACTCATTCTATAAGTTTGTGATAGAAAAAAAGGTGAGGTAGCTATCTATTTAGAGGGGACTATATGGATCAGTGCGCAATCTAGGCGTCGTAACTTGGACTCCTTTGTCCTGATCGCAATCTCCATAAACCAGCTAAACACCTAGCCGAGATTCCCCTCACGAGTCCCGAGGGTGGCGGGGGAACCCATCCCCCTTCTTTTAGTTATACTGGAGTTAAAGTGCCTTATGATTTCGAGACTTTCCGCACTGAGGTGATGTCGGTCTTTTATTAATCCATAAAAATCTCGGGAAGCCGTAAACGTTGACACCAAACAATAATTACTTAGTGCCCCGAGATTGATGTTTGGACGAAACAGAATAAGCTGTTGAGATAAAGTAAACAACCTTTATATTATGCTCAAACAATTATCTTTCTGGGATTGTTTTTATACCGATACTTGTTTACATTTAGTTTACTTCGTGTAGAATAAATAAATAGCTATTCTTTACTAATATTTGTGTGTAGTTTGTTTATATATACTAATGAATGTATTCCTTTGTTCTCAGGTCTACCATCACGGCGAGAGAGCGAGTTCAAGAAGCCAGCTCACGCCCCCCAGAACGGCGTCCGCCATCACCGCCCCCATATCCCGCACAGCAAGGTAAACACTTTATAACTATGAAATACATGCACTTTAAAGTCACAGCCACCCTGCAATATGCTAATGCGGCGACAGAATTTTTATAAAATGATCCTTATGAACTAAAATCTGTTTACTCAGTGCAAATTGTATTAGCTATGCTGATAAAAAATAAGCAGCGCGTGTAAGTATCGATCGAGAACATGATTATTGTGCTCGTAGCCGTATAAATGCAGGTTCATCACATTTGTTCCAACAAAAACCCTCTTTAGCCTTTCTCATCCGTGTCCTTATGAAGAACAAAAATAGGAACTAGAACGCTGCTCTAAGGTTATGATAAATAATAAGCGACACGTGTCTCGCGTTCAAACGCGCGACATACCAACTCGTTACTGCGATCCTTGCGAGAATCGAGAAAAATTTCGTTACAAATACTTATCGGTACACAATGGTGTTTATTGTCACGCTGTACGCTTTACAAAGCAATATCATCCAGGAAAATGTTGTGTTATCATGAAACTTTTTAAATTCCCCACCAAGCTCCGTCGCTTCGGGCTCCACCATCTTTTGTGCTGGATCGCTTTGCTACCCTGAAATATGCTTAACGACAATACAACTTTTCCTGGTTTAACTCTTTTACTTGTTTTATTGTTGCCATGCTTTATCTTAGCATTTGTTTACATTTAACAGGATCGCGAACTTGTTGGATAGAAGTCGCATTGATAATTATGGCCGTAGCGCTGATTAAGGGGGTCTTACGAGCCGTGACCGGCCTTTTCACGTCTCATTTGAAACTTCTCATGCCGTTACACAGCCACATCTTGGACTAGTTAATTCTTAGCTGAATTATTCATCAAGCGTACATTGTAATTAAGTTTAATGTGGTTAACTCCAAAACGGCGCCACTAACTTCGATCACTCGGGAAACTTGCTACATGTATGATGATGAATGGCAGAATAGATTTGATATTCACAGAACTTTGCGAATTATAAACATCAAACGGTACATTTGTGTATACTATGTGTGTACTGTATTTTTCTAACAATGTTAACGTCCAAACGACATTAAAAGCTACGTGTGTACTTCTGAGAAAGTAAAACCGAGCGCAATGTTTCCATATAACGAGCTCAGATTTTTCTCGCAAAAAGAAACAATCCAATTCAGAGACGTCGTTTAAGAAATCCCAAAACGTAATTCTATTAAGAGGAGAGGTGAATAGAATATTAATGTGCATTTTTTGGTGCAGAGCGATGGTTCCGGTTCGACGGGAGCCCCACACAGGCCGCCCCCCATAAGGATACCCAACGGTATCCAGTCACAGGTCAGTTTGATAACAGTGCCTTGTTTACATGGAAAATTCATTCATCGCATTCATTTCACTATTATCTAACACCTCAATCAGGCTGTCAGCGAATTCGAATTCCTTTGTAAAACTCAGGGCTACAAAAGTGTTATTGGGTTTATCGATTTTAAAATTTTTATAAGTTTAGCGTTGTTTTCTTTGTCTTCAAGTTAATAACTTTATTGACTAAAGCGTAAAGGTATAGCCTCTTCGTCGTAAACATTATTGTGATTAAACATCCATTTTGTATAAATTATCGAAAGTTTACGAACAATCAAAGTTTCGACATCAGTAGGGCCTAAAGTATTAACATTCGTGACCGTTGTCTCATTGGACAAAACTGTCAATTAGACCAAAAATCGTGAACACGACATCAGCTTGTTACTAAAGCCTAGTTAATGTAGTGCAGTCGAGCTTAAAGACATATTACACTGTTGTAGAACGGACCACATGTTCACAAAATGGTTGTATTACTAGAGTCAACCGTTGCGTGCCCACTCATTCCCCAGAGGAGCATTATTAATGACACTGTCAATTATTAAGTTATCGTCAACTACATAGTTATCCGGTTTTTTCCCTCTCATTATTTATTTCTGATTTTAAGTATGCAGTTCTTTAGCGATTGTAGGGGAGGCTTTTATGAAGGTGTTCTTTAAACGAGTTAGCTGTTTAATGGTGGGCTCGCTGCCATTGCAGCGGTAAGTCCCCTCTTTGAGGAGTGGCTTGAGAGACGCTACGGCGTCCTCACCTACCGCCTGACGCAGGTCCTCACCGGACATGGAAGTTTCGGGAGGTACCTGTGTCTGATGGGGCGGGAGGAAACGCCCGGGTGTCATCACTGCGAGGACCGCCCTGAGGACACGGTGGAACACACCGTAGCGGAATGCCCTGCGTGGGCTGAGCACCGCCGTGCCCTCAGGGAAGTGATCGGCGATGGCGACCTCTCGCGTCCGGGCCTAGTGCAGGCCATGATGCGGAGCGAGAGGGACTGGGATGCCGTCTCCTCCTTTTGCGAAGCAGTCATGCTAGCTAAGGAGGAGGCGGGACGCGTGAGGCAGCGAAGCGCTGCCTCCTCGCGACCCAGCCATCGCGAAGGACACACCGGGCGTCGGGGATCGCGGGACGATCTCCGGCCACCGTAAGCGCGGGCCTGCGGACGGCGAGCATGGGTGGCTCCCCGTCCGACCAGAAACAGACCCGAGCGTACGGCGCGTCGCGTTCCGCGCGCGCCTCAAAGAGCCATCAGACCACCACAGATGGGGCCCAATAGGGCCGATGCCGATTCGGAGTCGCGGAGAACCTAACGGGTAACCGGGGCTCCGGCTCGACGTGCAGGAGAAGGAACGGGGTGGTTTTTAGTCAGTAAGAGTCTGACACTCCCTTCCGCCTCACCCAGGCGGGAGCAGTCATTCGATGATTTTCCCCCCTTAAAAAAAAAAAAAAAGCTGTTTAATGGAGTGGTATCTCTGGTATACATGTGTCAGGGTCTGATTACTTAGTTTATCTTTCTTGTTCCCTTTAAATAATGAGACTGAATCATAATTCATTATTTAAACAGATTTAGTAGCAATCGTAACGATTACATTCCTCATTCGATTGACCATAGCAAATGAAAGTTAATGATAAAACCATGTAACAACACAGGAATGATTAATCACGACCTCATCCATAATTTCCTATACTATCTGTTATGGAATGTACACATCATACGCGATGACTTCGATACATATTTAATGATTATCATCACGTACCCGAAAGTCAACAAGGGCGCCCTCTGCCCTACAAAGTTCACGTTTTGAACTGTCACTCCCCACTCAGAATCGTAGGTGTTATTGCTGATATATATAGGTCAACAAGTGGGCGTCGGTTGTGCCAAATGTAAGCCTTTACAACTATTTCATTGGTATTTATGGGGCGTTCGTAGCATGAAAACAATTGTTTTTGTGTAAACTGAGCTGTGGGTACTAAATAGGGGGTTGTTGTATGATGTGTATTACGCCCGAATACTGAAAAGTTACTCAACTTTAAGTCGCGTTTGAGTATAGTTCTGTCTCTACAAATTCTTTGTAAAATGACAGAGATGGCACGATATTTAAGTACAACTTAAAATTGAGTAGTCTTTCAATATTCGAGCGTTAGTGATTCAATTGAAGTATGTTTGAGATTGTGACTTTAGGGAAAGTACTTCATGATCCAAACTATGAACGTCCTTTGTCTGATGGCGATGAGTTTGTGTGCTTCCCGTACAAATCTCTCATTTAATCACTCACGCATACTCACTAATTTGCCCATTATTATACTACCGTTATTTTATTGTTGAAGACATAAAATTTCTTGTTACAATGTAATAAGAGACCGTCTTAGTACAAAAGCTTCAGTCCCTTTCCCTTTGTCGTTGATACCGCTATTCTTCTCAGAAGACAATTATCTTCTGTCGTGTACTGAAAATGTTTAACCTTTATTCCACAACATTCACCCTCGTTACCTAGTTGTTCAGAAACGATTGACACTATCCAATAAATGTCTGTGTCTCCTTCCAAATGATTGGCCGCTATCTTATAAAAGGACGGGCGACGAAATGTATTCGTCGAATTGAATATTTAAGGACCCCGGCAGATTCCTTCAACGGCAACAATACAATACATTTATTGCCGTAAACTCGTAAATCATACAAGCAAAGTCGGCCGTAAACGGGCCCTAAATTTAATCGCCCCGCTTCGCTAAGGAGGCATAATGTAATCTCGTAAAAGTAGTTTTATTCTTGCGAGAGCAAATTTGTCCAATCTTTTATGTGAGCAACGCGCTTTATCTCGTTACTTGCATGTATCCGTGTTGACTGGCCTGCCCTGTCCTGTTTTTCGGCCACTGTAAATTATAAAGCGCGCATATGATTCATCTGTGATGTCACAATATTTTATCCACGTGTTACGATGCCCCGGTGACTGCGTATAGTTTGGACGCTCGTTTAATCCTGACAACAATATTATTTTATTTTTCATTTTTATATGAATCTGACAGTATTGCAATCCAATATTTTACCTTTTAAAATTCTATCCACAAGTTGAGCATTTTACAGTGAAATGAATAGGTTCAGACATGAATAGCTTTTATTGGAAAACATCAAAACATATAAAAATTTATTGTTTTTTTTTTCACAGAATGCGATCGACAGCAGTCAACCGCCAATAGAAAGTATTTTAAAGGTACGTATGATTCACTGGCGAGTGCATTGTCTCGTTATTTCAAGCATGTAAACTCACGGTACATTGTTTGTTATTGTAGGAGATGAAGTCTCTGCCGACGCCGTTGTCTGTGATAGCTGCGACGCCAAGAAAGGAATTGGAGAACAAATTCATCTTCAACCCCTACACAAATAAGGTAAGATTTAGATATCATCTACCTATGTAGTCATATAGCAACAACGTCGGTAGCAAGCGCTTGAAGTCTGATCTTAGCCTTAGCTGCGAAAACTAGGCCACACGACACCCAGCCTTGACACTGATTCGTTAAAAAATGACATAAGACTTAATTGAACAATCTCACAACAATTGGTCATTACGTAATCGTAGGAAAGCGTAAAACAACCACGCTTACTTACGTCGACAAAATTAATTTAAAATGCCAACTTACTTGTGTACAGAATCGCGTAACACTTGGAAAATATGAAAACAATTATAAATGCAAATTTCAAGTTCATGACTACGCTAAAACGTATTTGTACACTTGGTCACAGCACAAGGTCACGTCTCGACCAATGGCGACGCGCGAAAAATACCTACATAGTCTTACACTGGCGACCATGATTTATGGTGACAAAAGACAATTGATGTTACGTCTTGATATCGTAGGATATATTTCGAGAATATTCCTCACGTTGCTAACTGAATATTATTTACTTTATATGATTCGCAAAACTACTTGGACGATATATGGCTCCGAGGAAAATATGATTGGATGCGTTTCGTAGTTTAAGCTATTTCTTTTACGTGTTACGTAGTTTGTCGGGTACGAAGTTCTTCAGTGATGTTGGAGGGTATACATTTTTTATTTCCAACACGGAATATAAGTGTTGCAACTACAGATCTTTCTTTGCCAATTTGTAATTGGTGTAAGTTTTTAACATAGGTGTTTTTCAACTACTGAATAGTCACTTCTAGTAAATTAGTAATGCATTAAAAAGTACACAAAAAATACTCCTACGTAGGTTACTGGCTGTTAGCATTGCCAAAATGTATGTGTAATCCTCACTACGACGATAAAAAACATTAATTTAATTCAGAGAGAACGGTCATAACTTAAGCACACATACCCTTTCAAGCCGAAATAACTCATACTCCACAGTAAATAGGATTAAAAGTGCAACGAGTGCTCTGTGTGAAATGTTAGTAGTTGACATAATTTCGGAAGTATCAGTCAATAAAGTGTCCTTACGCTATTTTAATAAGGTTTCAATTATAAAAACTGTGAGTTTCGTAACACACCAACATTTTAGTTCGTGTATGTACCTGTAGCGCCATCTGTCGTCAACGAGTTGAACTAAGTTTGTTTTGTATAGAGCTCCAGGAAATTCTCGTTTAAAATATACTTACATTGGGTAGTGAGGCTTAAACAGATAAGTGATGAAGTTTAATTAAACATCGAAACTATATAAAAACATCGTGAAAAACGTTTTCCTAATTAATCGCATAACAATAATCTCCATAATTATGGAGATTCATTTCGTATTTCGTTCTGTCGGTGGTCTCCTCAATTTATTTACATAAACACTTTTACAGGTCCAAGAGAACCCTCAGTTGGCCGCCAACGATCTCAAAGCACCCCTACCCAAACCCGGTAAGTGTGAATACATTTTTTTAAATTAGGGTTGTCACATCTTGCCACTCGTAAAACATATTTTTACGGAACAGCTACATCTATGAGGAAGGAATTTTTGTAATACTATAATTGTGCATATATATTTTCGGGTCAGGCAACCCCAAAACAGAATGTTATTTACCAAATAGAGATGCCCTCTGCGGTCACTTATCAGAATTATCGGTTATACAAGTCGAAACAACCCGACCGTTGCGCATTTCCCCGTTTTGCCTTTAAATTACATGCATATTTAATTCATTGCCTCTCTTCCGGCATTCGGGCCGTACTTGTCTATTTTTCTTTTTACCGAACTGTGTACGTGACGTCGAAGTTAAAACCTTTTCAGTTAATGGACATTTTCTTTCATAAATATTTACATGCATTATTCAGTGAATGCTCTCCGATGTTCTTATTATTCTCAATCGATTACTGATATGGAATGCTATGATAAACAAACGCGATATATGCATTAACCGAGACATCAAACGAACGGATATCCTGTGCGAGAAATACTTATTAGATATTAATGGAATTAACTTTTATAATAATGGATGATTAAGCCAACAAGATATGGAAGAGTCGGTAATCGATGCTATACGTCGCGCGTCGCGTACAAGTGGCATAGCTTAACGTATAAACGATTGTGGCTACAAAAAGGCTGTAGTGCCGATAAAGTGGTGCGTGTGAAGGCACGACGTGAAGTGGTTTATAGTGACGATAACCCCTCAGACTTGTTCCACGTCCGCCCACCGCTATGCCTAAAATGTCGTACCTCAAACGCGCGATAAAAACCCTATTTTATCCTAGCAGCCCGCTAATTGGCTCATAACTCCACCGACTCACTCAACGACCAATGAAAAACCACTCGGAAAAAGTAAATTCAAACCACTCCGGTATTTGTTTTGTAAATATTAACTCGTAAGAAAATATAGTCGGTTCATATTATGAATAATGTTGCGTTTTTAAACTCAAACATGGCACGTCGATTGTATTAATGGAGCAACTAAGTGTTATAATGTTAAGTGATGTGCAATTGCTTGTCCGTTGATACGTATAAATAGATATGTACAATTTCCAGCTAAAACAATACCGCCGTTCATCGTCCAGCTTGCGCGGGCTTTAAGGTTGACTGCGCCTAAATAAAATGTGGAATGAAATATTAAGAGCCAGTTTACACGTATCGCGGGCACAGATCGCCGGCAGCGCCACCTGTCGTCGACGTGAATAAATAAATTGGGAAAAAAGCACAAAACGCAACCGTGCACACTGCACACATTGACCCGACCGCGCACACATACCCGCGAACATAAAACAAGACTGCAAGCGAAAATATTTGCGCTTGCTAACTGAATAATAATGAATATGACCGAACCGGACGTAACCGGAATCGCATCAGAGTAATTTCCACTGCTTTGTGTAACCCCGTACGATTATACTAGTTATTAATTAATATTTTATGGGTTCTCTGCAAAACTAGTGGCTTAATAATTACAGGTTTATGACAATAATCGTGGCTTCAGTTCATTACCATGCTTTATTCAATGTTTACTGTTGCTCCAACGTAAATGTTTTAGAAAGTGCTTTATTGCCTATACAAAATTTAATTATTGCGTTAATTATGCTATAATAGTTTTTGCATGATGAATTTGTAGGCACGCAATAAACGTTTGTCTTTCTTGAAGAGGATTTTAGTGTTGGAGATAAGGAACAAGGCAAGGCTTGTCGACATCGAATAAACGTGAGGTTTGCTCGTAATGTCATTTTTATTGTCGGCATTCCGAATATAATGGCTTCAAGTTGAGGTCTTGTTAAATCGTGCATACGTACACTAAGTACGTATGCATCACCTGCCTGCCGTAGGAGCTTGGGATCGCATAAAACTATGAAAAAGTAAAATAAAAATGGCGATGTGCAGATTAAAATCGTAGTTTGTAGTAGCTGGGAACGCAACGCGATAACGGACGGGCAGAGTAACTGAGTAACTGCTTACGTTTTTAAATATAAGTGCGATAAGTGTTAAGTATCGCATTCTGATAATTAATTATCATTATTTGTAGTTAAATTGACTGCTTCAGCTTACTTGAGTGAGTGGTGGATAACGCAACAACCTATGCATGTACTCGTGTTTCATATTCAAATGCATATATTTTTATACAATTCCCATTGAATCCGACAGCGTTTAGATTCGCTAAATGTTCCAGTCCAGACTCTCTATACATTCGTTTATTGATAGTTGGATCGTTTAGATCGGTTCGACGGGAATCACCGTGCCTGTCCGTGACACAAGCATAGAGTCAGTTCGAGGATTAGATTTCCCCTTTTTTATCCAATGAAAACTGACAAAACCTTCCTTTTCTGTCTGCAAATTGAATCGTTTCAAAGTGGATTTTTTATCATCAGAAACTAGGGAGTCTTTTGTGAGTTTAGTGTAGTCTAGTAGGTTCGTGGAGTTTTAATGAAATGCTTCGGCTTAACTGAAACTTAGACACTAATATGGTTAGCATAAAGTTGAAATTACTCTTCTCTGTTTGGATTAATATGCTAAAATATTCGTTGTATTTAAAACATAAGGTTTACAATAACTCATTAGACGGACAATACCATTAATGTTAATTATACTATCGCTAAATAATTATAATTATTTATGTGATACAAAGCGAAGCAAACCATATCAATAGCTCGAAAAGGCTTTTGATTGCTTTATTTTATTGGCTGCTTTTAAACAGTTTGTAAATAATGACTTGACTAACACATGCTACAAAAAGCCCACAACAAAACAACTCATATTTGTTTGTTTATATTCATTGCTTAGTAAAACCAAACCTTTACCTTATGGTACACCTTTGATTGGTCCGTTTAAAAGAAAACACGTGACCCACCCTTGTAGGGTTTGCATCCACTAGGTTAATAACTTTGCTCTACACCATAGAGGTTGTATATCACATGGGTGGGGACCCTTTGTTCGTATTTCAATCTCCACGGGAGCTTTCCGCCAATTTTCCCTATATCCTCTACACATCTGGGTACCGATAGTATTATTATCTATTGTTTCTTTTTGTTTTTTGAATAATTTCTTCTCATTGTGTGTACTTATTTTAGTATTATTTTGGTCATTTGTGGTATGATTGTGGTTAGAACAGTTGGTCAGTAATTAACATGGGGTTGAGAGCAGGGTCACCTCTTTGTGTGAAATTTATAACTGCTAAAAAGTTGGTACCTTTTACATTGTATGTGCTTCTCTGCCTACCCTTTTGGAGGTTAAAAGAAGCGACGTTATGTTTATGTCTAAGTATAAGTTTCTTGACTTATTATTAATTTGTTAGATAAATAACAAGGATTTTTAAATAGAAGCTCAATCGCTCAACTTAGTCATTTGTTGTAAGAGGCAGCCTGTGTCTTGCAATAGACAGAAACACGCTAATATTATTAATATGATTATTAATTTACAATCACATAAATATTCAATTTTATTTTAAGACATCAATTAACTTTACCTATTTTTATGAAACATCAAAAGTCTAGCGACTGTGTTATTTCTAAATATGATGTGCTTTAAATGAAAATAAAATGATGAATCTTTTTTTACAATATAATTCTCAGTAGTTACACGGATTCCGGGAAACGGCTCGGCCCGCAGTAATTTATTCTGTACTAATTAAATTGAAAATATATTAATAAAACTGACGAAAGTGAGTGTAATGTAAGTATTTAATATTTTGAGGTACTTTTGCATACCTTTCATTGAAAGAGACATATTTTCCATCTAAACAGAACCACGCTTGTGGAGGTGAAAGAGGCTAATCATCACTACATAGTATAAAACAAAGTCGCTATCCGCCGTCTGTCTGTCCCTATGTATGCTTAGATCATTAAAAATACGCATCGGATTTTGATGCGGCTTTTTTAATAGATAGAGTGATTCTTAAGGAAGTTTTATATGTATAATACATGCATATTGCACCCATGCGAAGCCGGGGCGGTCACTAGTATTCATATAAAACGGAGGTTCTTAAACCTTTAACAAAGGAAGGTTCTCATGTTATGTCTGTACGTTTGTCCGCGATTACCTCGCGATTGGTTGAATCGATTTTGATGTGGTTTTCAAAAAAGTGTTTGTTACACTTAGAAGCAGATTTTAATTAATATATTCACTGACTTTATTATTACTGCTGTCTCGCGCACGACTGCCTCATTGGCCGAGTGGTCGCAAGTGCGACTGCCGAGCAAGGGGTCTCGAGTTCGATTCCCGGGTCGGGCAAAGTATTACTGGGTTTGTAAAAACCTCAGTAGTAACACGGAGTCTGGAAATGTGCCCGGTATATGGCAATAGGCTCACCCCCTATTACATGGGACTCATAACATAAACAGTGAAAAGTGGGTGTTACATTGTACAGTGGCATTAAGTGCCATAATGTGCACCTCTGCCTACTCCTTCGGGGATAAAAGGCGTGATGTTATGTTATGTTATGTTTATTATTAACATATTAACCGCCTTGATAAAGGACCCACCACCAATAATCAGTTTATTACTAAGAACTGCACTATTACTCTGTCAGAATCGAGCCCAATTCTCTTTTCTACAGTCGTGTATGCTCTCGATTAACGATACAATATTTCAGTCATAAAATAAGCATTAATTGATAAGTCATAATAAGGTCCGATGTTAATATTGAAATTAACTACCCATGCACCAATTAACTCGCCGTTTATCCATTCTTCCTCGTTTAATAACTGATGCAAATGAATTTAAACTGAATCTCGTGTAATTAAGGTACAGAATACAAGCAGATATGTCCGTCCGCCGACCACAGCATTTTGTTCTGTAGATATAGGTCGATTAATATCACGATTTTTTTTCTCAAAGGGATAGACAGAGAACTGTTTTATAACAACATTATTTAATTAATCCTTACTAATATTATAATTCGGAAAGTGAGTTTGTTTGTTTGTTCCGCCTTTACGCCGTAACTACTAAACCG